TGACTGTTGATGAGATGTTGCTGGTGTCTGTGACTGTTGATGAGATGTTGCTGGTGTCTGTGACTGTTGATGAGATGTTGTTGGTGTCTGTGACTGTTGAGATGTTGTTGGTGTCTGTGACTGTTGATGACATGTTGCTGGTGTCTGTGACTGTTGATGAGATGTTGTTGGTGTCTGTGACTGTTGATGAGATGTTGTTGGTGTCTGTGACTGTTGATGAGATGTTGCTGGTGTCTGTGACTGTTGATGAGATGTTGCTGGTGTCTGTGACTGTTGATGAGATGTTGTTGGTGTCTGTGACTGTTGAGATGTTGTTGGTGTCTGTGACTGTTGATGAGATGTTGTTGGTGTCTGTGACTGTTGATGAGATGTTGTTGGTGTCTGTGACTGTTGATGAGATGTCGGGGCTGCATTTCTCTGTGCCTCCCCCCTGCAAGAAAAAAACGATCGTGCGTGGTTTGTGGAGAATAAAAAACACTTGGAATTGAGAACCCCCCCACTCCCCCTCTCAACCTCCCCCCCCCCCCCCCCCAAAACGTGTATAAGCACCGGGTCATTATTTACAAGTATATCGATCAGGCTGGAGATGGACCGCTCGCCCATACGTGTGCCCACAGTGGGGTCACTTCATTGCCGTGAGAGTTTGTTAGATTAATTTAGCCCTGGCACTGCGGTGCACAGCAGCGAGGGCCGACCTACTGGCACAATGTGCACGGTTAAAATACTGATAGGCCTTATTAAAGCCGGCGTTCCTGCTTTAGTTGAAAAACAACCCCCCCACTTTTTTTCTTCTTCAGAAAATTGGCTTAAGGTCTACTTGTTACAGCGAGGGGTTTTTTTTTACACGACCAATAAACGCCGCGACAAGAAGAACCTCGCGCGTTCGTAGGATGTTTGTGCTGGGACTGTATGTTTGTGCGGGGACTGTATGTTTGTAGGGGACTGTGTGTTTGTAGGGGACTGTGTGTTTGTAGGGGACTGTGTGTTTGTAGGGGACTGTATGTTTGTGCGGGGACTGTATGTTTGTAGGGGACTGTGTGTTTGTAGGGGACTGTGTGTTTGTAGGGGACTGTATGTTTGTAGGGGACTGTGTGTTTGTAGGGGACTGTATGTTTGTAGGGGACTGTATGTTTGTAGGGGACTGTGTGTTTGTAGGGGACTGTGTGTTTGTAGGGGACTGTGTGTTTGTACGGGGACTGTATGTTTGTAGGGGGACTGTATGTTTGTAGGGGACTGTATGTTTGTAGGGGACTGTGTGTTTGTAGGGGACTGTGTGTTTGTACGGGGACTGTATGTTTGTAGGGGGACTGTATGTTTGTAGGGGACTGTATGTTTGTAGGGGACTGTGTGTTTGTAGGGGACTGTGTGTTTGTAGGGGACTGTATGTTTGTAGGGGACTGTGTGTTTGTACGGGGACTGTGTGTTTGTAGGGGGACTGTATGTGTGTAGGGGACTGTGTTTGTAGGGGACTGTATGTTTGTAGGGGACTGTATGTTTGTAGGGGACTGTGTGTTTGTAGGGGACTGTGTGTTTGTAGGGGACTGTATGTTTGTAGGGGACTGTGTGTTTGTACGGGGACTGTGTGTCTGTAGGGGACTGTATGTTTGTAGGGGACTGTGTGTTTGTACGGGGACTGTGTGTTTGTAGGGGGACTGTATGTGTGTAGGGGACTGTATGTTTGTAGGGGACTGTATGTTTGTAGGGGACTGTATGTTTGTACGGGGACTGTGTGTTTGTAGGGGGACTGTATGTGTGTAGGGGGACTGTATGTTTGTACGGGGACTGTATGTCTGTACGGGACTGTATGTTTGTAGGGGACTGTGTGTTTGTAGGGGACTGTATGTTTGTAGGGGACTGTATGTTTGTAGGGGACTGTGTGTTTGTAGGGGACTGTGTGTTTGTAGGGGACTGTGTGTTTGTACGGGGACTGTATGTTTGTAGGGGGACTGTATGTTTGTAGGGGACTGTATGTTTGTAGGGGACTGTGTGTTTGTAGGGGACTGTGTGTTTGTACGGGGACTGTATGTTTGTAGGGGGACTGTATGTTTGTAGGGGACTGTGTGTTTGTACGGGGACTGTGTGTTTGTAGGGGGACTGTATGTGTGTAGGGGACTGTATGTTTGTAGGGGACTGTGTGTTTGTAGGGGACTGTATGTTTGTAGGGGACTGTATGTTTGTAGGGGACTGTGTGTTTGTACGGGGACTGTGTGTTTGTAGGGGGACTGTATGTGTGTAGGGGGACTGTATGTTTGTACGGGGACTGTATGTCTGTACGGGACTGTATGTTTGTAGGGGGACTGTGTGTTTGTAGGGGACTGTGTGTTTGTAGGGGACTGTATGTTTGTAGGGGGACTGTGTGTGTTTGTAGGGGACTGTATGTTTGTCGGGGGACTGTATGTTTGTAGGGGACTGTATGTTTGTAGGGGACTGTGTGTTTGTAGGGGACTGTATGTTTGTAGGGGACTGTGTGTTTGTAGGGGGACTGTATGTTTGTACGGGGACTGTATGTTTGTAGGGGGACTGTATGGTTGTAGGGGGACTGTATGTTTGTAGGGGGACTGTATGTGTGTAGGGGGACTGTATGTTTGTACGGGGACTGTATGTTTGTAGGGGACTGTATGTTTGTAGGGGACTGTATGTTTGTAGGGGACTGTATGTTTGTAGGGGACTGTGTGTTTGTAGGGGACTGTGTGTTTGTAGGGGACTGTATGTTTGTAGGGGACTGTATGGTTGTAGGGGGACTGTGTGTTTGTAGGGGACTGTATGTTTGTAGGGGACTGTGTGTTTGTAGGGGGACTGTATGTTTGTAGGGGACTGTGTGTCTGTAGGGGACTGTGTTTGTAGGGGACTGTATGTCTGTAGGGGACTGTATGTTTGTAGGGGACTGTATGTCTGTAGGGGACTGTATGTCTGTAGGGGACTGTATGCCACCAGCTTTGGGCTACGTTTGAGCCTGGTTTATCCAGCAATCCCGAGCGCCGGTCGGCGCACCGGTGATGCGCGTGCGTAAGTCGAGGCACGTGCGTAAGTCGAGGCACGTGCGCAAGTCGAGGCGCGTGCGTAAGTCGCGGCGCAGCTGTGAATCGCTCGCGTGTGGACGTCTCTGCAACCGGTTGCGAGGAAGTTGCGCAACTGGTCGTTCACGGTAGAGAGACGGGGGCTGGGGGGGGGAAACACTTCCGTGTGTCGATCTGCTCGGCGACTTGTAGAACCACTGCATGAAGACGTAAATCGCCGCTTGAAGAAGTGGATATTATTGTAGAAAAAAAAACGATTTGCCATCATTTTCTTTTATGTTTCATTGCATTGAGTTGGGTGAAAGTTGAACTTGTTGGCTGACAAAACAAGAACAATACTATATGTATAAATTCTTTACTCATCATAAGAGTGAAATGTATTTCCATTTGCCTCCTTCCATTGGCACAATTCTCAACAATCTACCACTAAGTCAGCAAGCCACGATACACCACTGACATGTCCAGGGGCTGACACAGTTATAGACATGTCTAGTCGTGGCCTTATTGTATACGCCTGCGTCTGGTTGTTTTTCATCATTATAAATATCTACTGAGAGTAGGGGTGAGTTTCGGATTAAAAGAAAAGTTTTGGGATTTTTGTAGTTTTAAGAACAATGTTATATGTTTTCCAGATTTTTGCACCATTTGCCCGATGTAAGTCATTTAACACATTCTCCTGCGGAGGGAGCTGGTAGGAACGTTGGGTTGCTCGGTCAATGGCCAGGGTCAACGGCGGCACCACGTGGTGTATTCCGCAAAATATGCCCGACTGTGAGGGCGAGCACAAGCCGGCGTGAGTAGGTTACATGTTGAGTTTTATAAGGGCACCACGGGGTGACCAGCCCCTCCCCACCCAGCCCCTCCCCACCCCTCCCACCCCCCACCCAGCCCCGCCCCACCCTCCCCACCCAGCCCCTCCCCACCCTCCCCTCCCCACCCTCCCCTCTCCATCCAGCCCCTCCCTCTCCACCCAGCCCCTCCCTCTCCACCCAGCCCCTCCCCTCCCCACCCTCCCCTCCCCACCCTCCCCTCCACCCAGCCCCTCCCTCCCCACCCAGCCCCTCCCCACCCTCCCCTCCCCACCCTCCCCTCTCCACCCAGCCCCACCCCTCCTATTTTTGGATGCACGACGGACGGACACAATAATCCCCTGTGGGCTGGTGTAACCAGGAGGTTCCTACCAGTAAAATGTCTTGTGCTCACAACTATGATGTCACCCAATGCCAATTTATGACATTCTTGGCCAGAAGAGTGTTAAAGTGACGTCATTAGTGCATTTTCCAGATCGGTCCGAAGCAAAAACATTATTCGGATCGTCCAGATGTTTGAATCTGAGCCTGATTGTTTGAATGTTGGGATTAATCCGAACATTGTGAACACATGCCTGATGATCAGATGTAAACGTCTGACTTTTGTGCCCCCTTTATGAATGGAGAGATATGTTGAATACGATTCAAGGTTGGGAAGCTTTATGCTCCTACTATATTGTAACACATTTTGCAGATTATCAGATACGCTGGATTTTAAAGTACACCACCCCGCAACTTTTGCTTTAAAATACCGGAAAAAAGTGCATCTTATAATCCAGAGAATACGGTAACTTTCGTGACTGCAGGGATTCATATTATTGGTTCTTTAGGTAAAGTCACGTAGAAGGGAAACAATAAAATAATAAAAATATAAAACAATAAAATTCTCACGACGTTTCGACTGCAACACAAGCAATCATCATCAGGTGTGAAAACCATTTTCTCATTGTGGTTTTCACACCTGATGATGATTGCTTGTGTTGCAGTCGAAACGTGAAAATGTTATTGTTTTATATTTTTATTATTTTATTGTTTCCCTTCTACGTGACTTTACCGAAAGAACCAAGAATACGGTAACATATATAATTATGTGCCTCTTCATGTCCACACATGTGGATGGGATGAATGTCTTTGTTGTGTGATTAACTTTGTCGTGAATGTATGTGCTTTCCAGGGTTCTGAAAGATATCCCACAATGCAACATGCCTCATGCCTGGCAGTACAGGAAGTGATGTCACAGCAGGGCATGGCTCATTCGTCCAATCAAGAGCGACCAGAGGTGGGCTTGTATTCGGTCATCCATCTTCCACATCCAATAGCGGCGCGAGGCATAAACAAACGCTTAGTGGGCCCAGTTCATAAAAAAAAAATCGAATCCAAAGCAACATAAAAAGATGATTAACATCAAAAGCTACTTCATCTCTCAATTCCCTATCTTGTCTGTATCTTATGTCAACATTTCTCTAAAATTTTCCATGTTTCTCTCATTGCACTACATCTCTATCTCTTGCCCACATCTCAGCTGTCATCTCACTCGCAGTTACAAAATTAAAGGGGAGGCCCACCTAATATGATTTCTGCTTTGGGACACCCAATTGGCCAGCCACCACCACCACCGTTCAGCTTCATGATGTTGAAGTTTTAAGGAAACCAATATGATCTTGTAATGGGAAATTAATGCTTCCGTTAGAAACTTGAGAAATCGCAAAAAACGTAATTGGAGCTAAAAACTAAAATAAAAAAAATAGTACCCCTCAACTAGATAATTGTTTGAATATGTGCGACTGCTGATTGTTTCACAGTAATACAGAGTACAATAATACAGTACTGGATTGTAGCTCATTTAGTAAATTCTGCTGGATAACATAGAATGATGATGTTGATGGTTAGGATGTAAAATTGTGCTTTTATATGCAGTCACATTTCTTTTTTTATTATTTCCACTTTTTATCTGGGTGGCATGGCGATAGCGCAGTGGTATCACTCGTGGCTCACAGCAGGCAGGGCCTGGGTTTGATTCCTGACTCGGAAACCTTTCATCTCCCCCTGTTCTGCTTGGGTTTCCTCTGGGGTTCTCTCCGGATTTGTTCCCATCGCTTAAAAAAAAACCCCTACACTGGAACTGGTATTATTGGCAAGTAAATCTCAATGCTGAAATATAGCACGGCAAATTTACATAATTGGGGTCGCACAGCAGCAACATCGACCCCGAGTGTGAAAACTCAGCAGGACCTGCCAGAAAAAAAAAGTCTTGAAACTCGGTGAGGATTTACTGGGTAAACAAGCGGAGTAGTCATAATAATGTATATTGCGGTGCTATTTTACGTAAAAACAAACCTGGAATTTTGATGGATCTTGATAGCACGGTTAGCAGTGACTTGAGCTGCACAGTAAACGTGCAATTAAAGTAAATCTGAAACAATAAAATTCTGTAAAAATGTTTATCTAGCCCGCATTGTAGTACAACAATGCACCACCGAGCGATATCGCTGCTTCCACAGTCCCCACGCCTCATTGGTACTCCCGTGTTATTCCATCAATCCACTGCTGGACTAGGGGCCTGCCCATTGCCCTGTGGGTCATCGATATTATCTGACCATACTTCACCGTGCTGGTCAGTGCTGGTCGGTGAACGCTGGGAGCGTAAATGTGATGTGTGATGGCATAGAATTGCTCTAGGAAGGCAGCAGCTGCCTCGGTGAAGGACGATCCTGGGAAAACTAGGTGCATCCCAGGCGCTTTGGTCATAGGCCTCAATGGCTCTGTCAATATAGCTTGGTGAGGTGAGAAAGAAATACTGTAATGTCATTGAATAAGTTATTAAATAAACACACGCCTTTCTAAAGTTACGGAGGTTTTTCGCGGTTGCGCTGTCAGAGCCGAGCCATCGAATGTGTTTTTGGGTCCTACCGCGTGTCCCTTGTGGGCACGGTGTCCGACGTTTCGGGGGACGCACGCTCTGTCATCGAGGGTGAGAGAAAGTGAGATGCTCAACTCGGCTCCCGAAGAGAGCCTCCGAGCTCCACGCTGGAGCGTCGCCCCCAAAACTACAGCCCTCCAAAAAGGGGGCATGGGGAGATGCCAAGTCTGGGACTTGGTGGCACAAAGAAAGCTAGCTCACCACGAAACCCGGTAGCCCGAGTTCGATTCCCGCTCATGGGCCAACACCAGTGACGATTATCTGAACTGGTCTTGGGCCTCCCCTAGGTCCACTCAGCCTCAAATGAGTACCTGGTGCGGTGTGCAAACATCGCCACTGGGGAGACGAAGCTAATCTGGTGCTGGCCAGCTACCGCTTCGTGCCGGCCTTCGTAGGTTCTTGCTAACAGCATTGCTCCCAACAGTCTGTTAAGGCTACACGTGGGATCTTTGTCTTTGTTAGTCAATCCATGGCACCTAGGTCTGGCCCTTGATCTCCTGCCAGCGAGCTTTCCACACTTCCCGTGGCCTGAAAGTGCATCTAGCCTTGCACCAGCACCGTGGTGAAGTCACTGCCACTCAGTGGTGAAGCGCTGTTGTTGAACCTAATAAGGCCATCACACTACTGTACTCTCAATGGGTGCCGATGTAGACACACCGCACAAAGTACGGTACTGTTCTCATTTAAGGCTGAGTGGACGTAGGACAGGCCCAGAGCCAGTTCAAATACTGTATACATTGGGGGGTGTTTGTCAAGAGTGGTAATGGCGGGGGTATGGGTGAGGATGGAGATGGAGGGATGGAGGGATGGGGATGGAGATGGAGGGGAGGGATGGAGATGGAGGGGAGGGATGGAGGGATGGGGATGGAGGGGAGAGATGGAGGGATGGGGATGGAGATGGAGGGGAGGGATGGAGGGATGGGGATGGAGGGGAGGGATGGAGGGATGGGGAAGTCTTTATCCTCGCTGCTGGTCGCTCCGCGTCAGTTCAAGATTCAATATCCCAGCTCCTGAGCAAAGCGCGGTAGGGCTTGCTTAATTATCCCAGGCTAGGGTTGAGAAAGCACCCACAAACGTTTGAATACGTTTTTTATTGCCACTTTCAAAAGAGCCAAAACTTTTACATTTTTGCGCCTTAACTCTTCCCTGCACCGTACGCGTTTCCTAATGCGCGGTAGCACCACTTCACTACGGACCTGGTCACCCGTTTTCTATTCCAGGTCTCGGTCGTCAGCACCAGTCATGTATGTTTTAACTGGTCCTGGGCTCTCCCCTACGTCCACTCAGCCATAAATGGCTACCGTAGCTGGTGTAGTGTGTAAACATCGGCACCGCTTCAAGTCGAGTACATTACTGCGATGGCCTTGATAGGTTCTCACACCTAGGATTGCCAGCTTTCCTAGAATTGGAATCTGTGTCTGGTTCACAGAAATATGTATTTGTACCGCGGTCCGGTACCATTATTGTGTTGAACTTTATTGCAGTTGACTGCACAGCGTTTGTTATATACGTAGGTATGTTGAACTTCTTTCTCACCATACGGAGCCAACCGTACTAATCAGAGGTGCCGAGGAAGGACAACAAACTAAACACAAACATCAGTTGTAAATAAAATAGATAAAGCTCCAGTGGCTTCCTAATCTCTGACGGCAGAGCGTTCCAGACGGCCACAGAAGCGCATCTGAAGGTGCGTGATGATTCACCGTCTTTATTCGATGGCGAGCCAAAAGCCAGCCGCTGCCGCTGTGAGGATAACCGCAGTTCGCGTGATGGTGGTTTATGCTCCCTGACGAGATCGGCAAGGCACTGTGGTTCATTTGTGGCAAGCCCTTTGTGTGTAATGAGTGCGACCTCGTAGGCGAGACCGACTGACATCTATCTGGGTTTGGTCCTGCAGTGCAAAAGGTGGCAACCCTTCTGACAGTGCTTGCCCCAGCAGTCTATGAAGGATCTATTGGGTTTTTTAGTTGTTGCTGTTCCTGTTAACGTAATGGCCATTAGTGCAAGTGGAGAGCTGTTTGTTGGATTATGATGCCACATTGGTTGATTTATGTTATATATGTGCTTGATTGGAACAACCTTGTTTTCGATACCCTTAAGATCGTAAACCCACCTTGAAAAAAAATATCATCGAGCAGAATATTAGCGCTGGATGAAAATGTGATTTTGTAACTTTTGACCATTGCCTGTTTGTCGATAGTCCAATGTTAACGTGGCCATGCTATTGAGGGACTACTCCTGTGTCGTGTTATCTCGGTGTGGTCTCGGACTGCTTCGTTGTTGTTGTTTTCTGCCTTGCCCGATCTTGATAAAAATTGATTCGTATTTAATTAATTTATATCTAAGAACTTGCTTAGGATTGTTTCTCTATTTTTTGCACACGTGGCTCATTGGATTCCTCCTTCATGTCTCAATAAAGATTCTGATTGAGAGGAGCTCACGGGCGAGGAGCTCAAGGGCAGGGAGAGCCCCCAGTGACGCTCGCCAGCCCGCTGGCGCGGAGCTCCGCACATTTTGCCCTTTTGCTCCGCGATGTCTGGGCCATGCACGGGCCTGTGACAAAGAAAACCCTGGTGGGACCCATTTCGACATTCATCGTCTCGATCAGCAGAGTGAGACTTGCTTAAAGCAATGCTGGTCAACTGCCAGATGGGTTATGAGCAAGGACCCTCGCTGCTGAATATACGACTAAGTTACGCAGGACCGCCAGCGGTTTGGTTGTATTGTGGCTAGAGATTGCTCGCGTGGTAAATGCCAAAGCTAAAACTTGACTAGCCGTGACTTTTGGCTATATAGATCTGTCCGCCCCACAGAGCACAAAGGAAAAACGATCAATCGTGGTTTTGAAAGGCATTAAACTTACAAGCCCACAAGGCATGGTCTACACCTGGCCTGTTTCTCGGTTGCGGTAGACTGCCGTCAGAATCGCGTGCGCCGGACTGCCTGCGCTTAATTTCAGCCTGGAACAGTGAAAAATGCTGTTCAGGCAAATGTTTTGGCCATACGAACAACCATCACGCTGCCGTATTCTGTTCTCCTGATACTCTGTTGGGTGTGTGCGGTGGTGTGCGAGACAACGCCATGAATAGCTCTCAAGGTAAGCACACGCCCCCTGAGGATCATGCTTGGGAATATACACGTCACAGTAATAATGATGTAAGGTTATTATGGATAAGCATACTTTGATCTCTAGTGGTAGTGCCTTATGCCGATAATAATGGTTATCTTGTAACGCGCACAGCGTCCGCTAACTCTCGTTGAGAGAGGATGACTTGAGTCCCGAGGAGGAACCACAGGCGAGTGGGGAAGGCACCCACGCGTTGATCCAGCGCCGCCAACGTTTGCCAAAGCTCTGTGAT